GTATCTCAAATATAGAAATATACTACTGAAAATACAAAAATAACTGAACAAATTGCAGAGATAGGTTGAAAATTAATAAATGAGCTGCACAAATGATGAATTTGACAGAACTGAAAAACAAACGTGAAGTCTAAGAAATGAAACTCACATTTCGTAGAAATCCCACTACTCTCGACGAGATATTTCGTTTGGCAATTTATTCATCATTTTCGAATCATCGCTTTCATTTTCGATACGTCACCAAAAGGAGAAAATATAGGATTTAAAATATTTGTTTCATCAATGTCCGTAAAAATTCTTCATAATATATAACAATATAGTATTGCGTATAAAAACGTATGATACGTCACATTTGTAGAAATCTATTAGTATTAGGTTACGGTGTAACAAACATAAATTATCATTTAAGTCTTATAACTTACGTATCATTTCTCCAGCAAAATTACAGTTTCGCAAAAAAGTTTTATATTCAAATCCAAAGCGCGATGTAAAATTAGGTATTAGATCTGATTTTGTGAAAGCAAAAAACATTATTCTCATTGTACTTCAAAATACAAATTAACTTTTTGAAAATAGTACACTGCTTTGTTTGAAACTAGACTTATAGTGTTTTGAAATAGAAGCTATCAGAGACTTAATTTTTCCCATTTTGAAACTTTCCATGAAAACGAAATTAAACTTTTCATTATATAACTTTCAATTATTCTTAATTATAATTTCTATATTTTATAATATAAATATATTCTATATTTCAATCTTAGAAATCCAGTTCAAACAGCATTCATATCATTTGACAAATGACCTCCGTTTTTATAAACTACATATTAAATTTCATAAAATTACTAAATGTAATATTTACCACTTAATTGAAATCTTCTACGTCGCCACTAACATTCAGCAATAATTATACCTTCAATTAGCAGTGAATTATTCTCTCCGAGATGAAATTATCCTTTTACTGGAAATTTTGATGCACATTCAGGAGTGAAAGCTAGCGTGGACTAAAAATATTGAAAGGAAGCAAGTGACCCTTGGTTGTTACTTATTGCTTATTGAACACGATCATAAATAATGACAGAAAAGTACACGTGGCAACCGAACTTTGTTATGACATTCAACTAAGCATACAATTAAGAACGATATCGGACTATCCTATTCAGGAATAATTGATGACACGTGCGCATCTGGAATGCACGATAAGGGCATGCGCTAAGAAGAATAGCGAAGTTTCAG